ATAATGACTATTGTTGACTTTGGCCATCATGTAGATACTATAGAAATGTCAATTCTTAAAATATTTTTAGAAGTGTTTTAAATTCTTTTTTTTTAAAGATTTTATTTATTTATTTGAGAGAAAGAATGAAATAGAGAGAGAGAGAGCATGAGAGGGGGGAGGGTCCGAGGGAGAAGCAGACTCCCCGCTGAGCAGGGAGCCCGATGCGGGACTCGATCCCGGGACTCCAGGATCATGACCTGAGCTGAAGGCAGTCGCTTAACCAACTGAGCCACCCAGGCGCCCCGAAGTGTTTTAAATTCTAAGATAACAGAGTTTTCAAATACTGCAATTAGTTCCGACGATGTTTTTTTTTCCATTTAGTTTTAACAAATTGTGCCTGTTAATTCGGGGATATTAAAATGCAACATAAATTTAAACCAGATACCTCCATCCTCACCCCTCCCCCCAAATAAAGGTAACACTGACATTCAAGGAATAAATAAAAAGTCTACTCAGTAACTATAGAATATCTAGCTTCCTAAATATAATCTTCTGTGTGGGAAGCTGGGAGAGGAAAATTAAATTCTTACGTTTTTTTAAGTGGACGGGACTAGTAGTATTTGAAGAAGCCAAGTAGAAAACGGAAGTACTTAAGTTGGCTTTGCCCCTTGCAGAGAGATGCTTGGCTGGGTCCTTTCCCACGGGGCACTTTCCAGAGGACGGGAGTCCATTTCAGGAGGAGCTTGCTATTAACCCTGGGCAGAGAGCAGAGATGGGATGGTGTGGCTCAAGCCGGCATTCTTGGAACAGGAGCCTGCGGTTTCTCTCTTACTTCATCTTGTTAAGTCTGTCCTGTTGATTGGGGTGGATGCCGGGGGTAGTAGCGACTCACTCACACTGTGTGTAATTTAAAGCCCTTACAAGCTCCATCCTCAGGCAGCCGCGGGATGGGGCGGAGAGGGAGGAAAGGGGGTGAGGAGCAAGTGCCCCCTCCTGGGCTCTGACCTCATCCAACCCCAATCTGGGTCTTGGAAAAATGTGTTTCAAAGTTGGCTTGAGTTGCTGTTAGAAGAATATCTTGATTTAACCTTCTTAGAACTGGCTGTATTGTGAGTAGGCTAGATACCAAGGCATTAAGTCTGAAGAGTTGTTTCTGCGATCCCACAGGACTCACGTTCTAGTGCATGAAGAATACCTTTACCTTTTCACTTTCAAATCAAATATCTTTGGACTCCTGTCTTCGAAATGCAATAGTTCATCTTTTAGGCAAGCGTGTGGGAGAAGTGTATCCAGTGTGGGAAGATGTAGCGTAATTATGGAGAAAATAAGGAAATTTCTTTTTCTCCTGATGTGAAAAGAAATTCACTGTCAACACGAAGAGTTTATTTATTGCTCACCTGTTCCCAGCATGGAACGATGACTACGAAAGCCTCTCAGATGAGAATAGTCAAAACGAAGCAATGAGCATTAAAGCAAAAATATGTGTTAATTTTTGTTCTAAGCATCTAATAGATTTTTTTCATTTGGTCACCACCAGTATTGTCTTACATTATTTTTTTAGTTTTCAATGTGAACATGTGTTAAGCCTATGCATGACTGATTAATTCATGAATGCCCATGTTTCAAATGTCACATGATTTAAACTTATCGATAGCTCCATTTTTTGCCCTGGAAACCTGATTATTGTGCTTGAATTTTAGGGATCTGTTTCCTCAGGCAGTTTCATTTTATTCAATGAATGCTGGTGGTCATATATTATCTCTTATTTTGCGGGGGTTATAAGAAGGTAAGAGAGAGTCATTCTCAGTGAAGACCTTAGGATGCTACACACACACAAACACACAAACACATATTATATCATAAAGCAATAATAGTGTTCTATATTGTACAGAACAACATCTCATTACCTATAGTTCTACTTTTTTGGGGGGTATAAACCTAAATCTCTTAATACTTTTCTTCACCAGAATTCCTGTTGGGATGCGAACCATATGTATTTAAAAATCCATATAGGATATGGATTTTGGGCTGGGATAAATGTCAAATACCTTCTAACAACAGCACATCCTGCTGTCAGGGGGCGCTTTGTTTTGTCTAATGACCTTTAGGGTTTGTGGTGAATGGCTCTAGATATAAAGGGGTGAGAAATTTTATGTTTCCTGGAGAAAATTTGGGAAGGAGAGAGCATTTAGGTGCATATGAAGTGAGCCTCAGATAGTGAATCCTTGCAGCAATTCTTAGAAGAAGAGTGGGGGCAGCAAGAAACTCTAATGACCATTTTCTTTTTTTGCATTAGCTTTTTAAAAAATTGTGGTGAAAACACATAACATAAATTTTACCATCTTGGTGATTTTTAAGTGTACAGTTGAGTAATGTTAAGTCTATTCACATTATTGTGCAACTAATCTCCAGAACTTTTTCATCTTGCAAAACTGAAATTCTACACCCATTAAACAGCTCCTCACTTCCCCCCCTCTTTCCCCCCAAGCCCCTGGCAACTAATGAGATGACTTTACAATGTTGTGGTGGGTTATGCAACATAATTTCCCTCCTTGCTTAAGAAAATCTACTCTATTCTCTTTAATGCTTTCATACAAATTGAGAGAACTAGAAGTGGTGCCTAGTTATATGCCAGGTTGGGTGAAGACAGAGCTTGTGGGAGCTGCAGACTTGAAGTGACACCTGGCATCTTTTTATTCCCTGAGACGCTGAACACTAAGTATTTCTGACTTTTCCTTTTTTAATTGGCACTACTTTTTAATTGTGGAAAATCCTGAAAATAGTGTTATATGTAAGTAGCATGATCATCCTGCTAAGAGCATGTGAGGATACTGAATATATCCTGAAATACTACATATACGTATATACCCTTAGCAGCATGATCACACTGCCTGTACATAATATCTTCAAATTTCCCACAATTAAGAAGTGCCAAAAAAAAAAAAACAAATGAAAAAACTTCCCACTTAATAAAAAGGATTTCAAGGTAGCAAGCTAAGGGGGGAAAAGACCCCCCTCTTCTTATGAAAATTATATATGTAAATGTGTATTCTCTTCTTAAGAAATTATGTATGTAAATTTAGGAAAATTATATATGTGACTTTATTACATATTGTTATACGTACACTTATACACACACACACACATATATATGTAACTTTCATTTTTCCCTTTTGAATCTAGCAGCAGAGGGGATTTCTTCCTGTACATGGCTATGTGCATTTATTTCCTCTTAAGGACATAAACCCTTTGCATGGACTCCTAGAATCCTTTGGCTGTCACATAGATGACTATGCTGATTGTGTGACTCAGGGACCTACAAGGGGTGGCAAGTTATGGAATGAGCTGAATGTAGTTTATGTGATGTTTGTAAAGACAGGAAATAAGATGCGTAGAGTCTTAGGGCCTTCCAGTGAGGACATGGGGCACAGATGATTTAATAGCAACTTGGCCAGGGTGCCCGGAATAAATTGTTTTCATTCTCCTTACTGCTATACCTGGTAATTTGCCAGGGTAACAGGTGAAAATTGATGAGGGGGTGGTGATTTCTAGGACACAGACCAGAAGAGCCAGGAGTTCTGAATTCCTTTGGCAAGAGCTTTGTCTCATGGGGTGCATTATACTGTAATACTACTGGGCAGTACTTTTCAATTTATTTCTATAAAGAAAGACGGTAATGGTTCCAACAGGCTGAGTTTATGCTACAAATGTGTTCTTGGGGCAGTAGGTAAAGACGCTTCATAATGCAATTATTATTAGATTTTCCATGAACCTGGACATAAGATGTTCCACATGAAGGTAAATTTCAGGCAAATCTATTTCGAATTTTATTTCCTTTAGGAAACCTCTAATTAGAGGCCTCATGATAAATGGGAGGGGTCATCTTATCTGTCAGTCAGGCTTTATAGGATTTTATAGAACTTTATAGAATTTCTACTACATCCTGGGTGGGGTTGCTGAATACAACACCCAAAGAAATCTTTGTCCTTGAAAAATATAAAGAGAGGAGCAAGCAGGAAGAAATGCATCACTTCCTAATTTCCGCATATAAAATTAGTGAAAATATGACCTAGTCAGACACATACGTACAGATACAGACTATAGCGAGAAAAGGATTAGACCAAAGAGCCCACTTAACAATGAAATTATATTTCTCAGATAGTATCTACCATTTTCTATAAATAATTGACTAGGGTGATTAAAAAACTCTTTTTAAAAAAGACTATTAGCTAGTGTTTCTTAAGGTAATGTTTTTAATAATGTGTTGCTAACTAGGAATTAGAATTATAAACTCAAGGAAAGCTAGTTTTTCAAAAAATAATTTCTAGAAAGGAGTAGGATTTTCAACATGTTATGGGTCTAAAGGCTTGCGCTGCTGCCTTTGTTTTCCCTGTGGATGGGAGAGAAACAAAGACACGAATCCAGGCTCTTTGGCCTCACGTGTGACGAGCATTGTCTCACTTGGGGTTTGGTCTTTCATGGGGTTTGTTAATCCTTGCAAGCTTTATTTCCAGCCCAGCTTCATTTCTTCAGTTTGTTTGCATCTCTCAGAAAAGAGCCTTTCTTGTAGGGCTACTCCATTCTCCAAGATGAGATTATGCCTCTGGGCTAAAGGCGCAGAAAGCAAGGGGTAACTAAAGCAGACCACTGAAATATTTCCCCAACCCCTGCCCTTCTCTAAAGCAGAGTTTAAGATTTCTGGGGAGAAGTGGAGAATTATTAGAAGACCTATTTTTGCTCCAATGTATGGCCAATAATGAGCGTGTCATGGGCCCCCCGGTTCTGGCTTGGGCCTGAGAATGCCCATGAATGATACTGGAAGATGAATGTGAGGAAAGGTCAGCCCACCTCCCTCTTTTCAGTCAAGTAGAATCAGCCAAACTCTGTCCAGTGTTGACCGACGATGCTGTTCTCATGCCAAAAATCTCCCTCTAAAGGACATCAGTAGAGCGAAATCGTTGATAATGTATTCCGATGCAAAGAAGTGGACTGATTTCTTCTTCTTCTTGTTTGTGAAGCCTCTGGCGCCTTGTCATGACTCCGTGGAATCCATGCAGGTGTTCAAACAACACTGCCAAATAGCAGAAGAATACAATGAGGTCAGAAAGGAAATCGCTCTGCTTGAGGAAAGGAAGTAAGTACTGTCCCTTTGAACCCTCTGGCCTCTGAGTACTGCCTACCGGTCACGGACCGGGGGAGGCAGGGAAGGAATGGGCTGAGCGTGAGGGTGAGAGGGAGGGATGGGGGCAAGTGACATGGTTCAGAGGTTACTAGGCCACTTCTGTGGATATCATGTTTGATTATACAAAAGACCCAAATCGAGCTGCTGAAGACAAAATGCTTTACTTTATGGAGTACTGAGAACAGCAGGAGGACTTCCTACCAGAAACTTAATTTTTTAATAAGCACTTTTAGTTCAGGAAATTAAAAATGTCAGAATGCCAGAGTCACACTACGTTTCCTATGGATGTGCCCAAAGGCCCCAGAGAACTTTGGCTTGGAGTGAATTTTGATTAATGCTTAACGGTGGAGTTCTTGCATCAAGTCAAGTCAAGTCAAGAAGCCAGTGGGACAGATCTTTGGAATAATGTAAATGTATTAGCGGACTAACTGCATTTTTTAGTCCAATAGCCCAAGGAGGTTTTTTAAATCTTGATAGCTTCCATTACCATTCCAGTTCTGCTGTAGGGAATTATAGAGTTCTATTAATTAAATTAATTAATTAAAGCATTCTAATTTTGCTCACACTTAGCTTTTTCTTGCAGAATTCTCCTCCTTTTTAATTGCACTTAGTTCTACCAGTGTCTACCCCAGTGATCCCCATATCTTTCATACTTTCAAAGCCTCAGACAGCTTTCTACCCTAGCATTGTTTAGTCCATACTTATGTATTTATTAGTGAGATCTTTTGATTAATATTTGCATCTCCTACTACATGGTAACCACTAAGTGCTTTTAATCCCTGAAGGCGGGGAGAGTCAGGTATCGCTCACCATCGTATTTCTGAAGCCGAGCACAGTACATGGGATGTAGAGGCTGAATCAGTTTTTGTTGACTGCGTGACACATAATCAAAACATGTTTTGATTCTTTAACTTTGTTTTTTTTTCCCCACTTCCTCTTCCTGAAGTGATACATGGTATGTATTACTTAGTTTTCAAAATCAAAGCAAGTGAAATATGTTTTGAGTAATTTGTAAAATTCTTGGGACTCTTTGAAGACTGCCCTCCCTGCCCCCAGTCCCCCCCCGGATGATGGTTGGACAGAATAACATGGTGGGGAGCGGTACGGGTTGTAGGGTCAGACTGCACTTACTGTAAGACCTCGGTTAACAAACCTTTTCTTACTTCCTTGCTGTGTTATGCTTCAAACATAAAATCATACCTGGACTTATGGCTAAAGGGGATGATAAGATATTTATGAGGAGATCAGAAAAACACATCTTCCCCTCATTTATCTGAGACTTTCTTTTTGGTCTGAAAGTTCTCATAAATTGGCTGGAACGCTCAGATTGCACATTTGCACACAATCTGAGTCCTAAAAAAACCTTAAAGGAGCTGAAGAAGCTTATTAATAGTACCCATGGGGAAGTTAAAGGAGGACTTATATAATCAGTAACCTATAAACGTATCTCCTCGTGTGCGTGTGTGGGTGTGTGTGTGTGTCTGTGTGTGAACTGTGCTGTTGAGACAGATATAACAGGTAATTATGTATTTATTTGTAAACTCTTCAGATTGAAAGTATTGGAAGACTTCGTTTATTTCAATTAACCCATAGGTGGCCTTTTTTTATTTCGGCAATGCGAAGCTCACCCAATAAATTGTATGTTTTGTAAGTTTATATTTTTGGGTGTTTCATTAAAAAATAGGATAACGATGTAATAGTGACTCATTGTGGTCTTTTATTGAAAACATATTCCTGCTGTTTCTACATAACTAATCTTATTTTTTCCCTAAGCCTGTTCGAACTTTGGACTTTTCTTGAAACTATGTTATCTCCTTCCCCTCCCCCCACTTTCTTCTTAAATAATTAGCTAGATGCACGGCAAAGGCCAAATTCTTTTGTTATCTATTTTCCTTTCTTTTTTATAAAGTCTCTCAATTCCTTTTTCTCCATTCCTGCTTCTGCTCTCTGAGATCAAGACTTGCTGCTTCAAATCCTGGTCAATGTAATACTATAACTGGTTTCCCTGCCTATGTTTTCACATTGTTGGAAAAGGACACCAAGTTCTTGGCCTGGATTGCAAGCTTTAGCCCACGATGGCCTCAGCACCCCTGTAGAATGTTCTGCCTCATCCTTCGTCTTCAGCTACATCAGTCTGTTCACTCTTTCTGCCTCTGTGCCCTTGCTTACACACCAAGCTCTAGGTCTGGAGCACTGCTTCCTTCCTCTTTGCATGCCCAAATGCTACCCTCAAAGAGAGCCCAGCCAGTATCCCTGCCCAACCAGTCTACGGGGTTCATCTCTCTTCCTGGGTGAAAGAAAATACACTGGAATGATTCTTTTTTTTTAAAGATTTAATATTTATTTATTTGAGAGAGAGAGAGAGAGAGCACAGGCATGGGCAAGTGTTCAGGGGGAGGGGCAGAGGGAGAAGGAGAGAGAGGGTCTCTGGAAGACTCCACACTGAGCACAGAGCCCGAGGTGGGGCTGGATCTCATGACCCTGAGATCATGACCTGAGCCCAAATCGAGTCAACAACGTAACTGACTGAGCCACACAGGAGCCCCTGGAATGATTCTTCTGGCATATTTGTGGGCTGGTGTTATCAATAGTTACCTATTTAACTTTATGTCCTAACTTTCTGACTGTGCAGAATTCCCAACAAACGTGGTCACCTTTTAACATCTCTTGGTGTCCCAGTCACCAAGCAGAGGGACAGGTACATGGGGTCAAACATGAGTGAGGGTGATTTCGAGTGACTGATTATAAGACATGGTAATACCCTCGGTGTATACAAACACTGTAACAGATGTGTCATTTGTAATTTGCACGGTCCATATTTAAAATACCGTGTCGATATCAGCAATAAGGAATTGCTAAGATGAATTGTTAAAATAGGAAGTATGGTATATCTTATATTTATAAATAAATAAGACTGGTCCTCCAGGGGTTATTGGTGATCATTGTTTTCATTAATACTTTACCAAAGCAGAAATTCATTATGTAACAGATATTTTCCTGGACATTCTTTGTGTTCAAGCAAGACAAATTAGGTCAAATGGATCTGACCCAAGTCATTAGCTCTCTGTGTTTTGATGAGTTGGATAAGAATTTCTTTCCCATCATTTCATAAAGTGTGGGTGATTATGTTGTCTCTGGTGATTGGCTAGCATGAGCTAGACACAAAGAGAGATGCTAACTTGGGTATTTTAAAAAAGAGTTTTTCTTTAGTGGAACCATGTGGGCACAGGTGAAGCTGAACTTCTCTCTCATCTCCAGAGGGGGTCACCCTGGATCAAGTTTGGGAGACTTTGCAGAGGAGAGAGAAGAGTTGATTATTAACTATTATTTTAAATCATGTCTATTAGATAAAGAGAGTCAAACATTTTCTAGGACTATAAACTCAGCATGCAGTGAAATTAATTTAAAGAATCACTTCTGGCTTATTTGATGTATGAAATGCTTGCTCTTACTTTTATTGGATTTTTTTTCTTCTCAATTGAAAAAACTGACAATCTTACTGAAGGCTTTAAAAACTTACCAAGAATTCTGACATCCGTCCAGAATTCCTACTATTATTTCTGCCTCTTTTTAGGCCTTTTTAATGTGAACCGATATTTTTATAGAATCGCTTATATAATAAAATGAAACGTGTACATGCTTTTCTCAATAAAAATTGTAAACTTTTAAAATATAACATGGTTTTTTGTGGATCTAATGGGAAAAAGTGAGAGGTAGACATTTTATGACTTATGAAATTTATCACCAGTATTTTGACAGCAAGTTAAAGTACATGATTAAGCTACAATTAGATCTACAATCAGATTTACAATTAGTGAAGGTTGCTTTGCTCCAGTTAGGGTATTTTATCTTATTCAAAGGAGAAACCATTTGTCTTCTGTATATGTGAAACATTGTGCCAGATGCGATGGTGTTTAAAAGATTGGCTTAGAATGTCAGAAACAGATAAACTTTTAAAAACGTCAGGATGAAAAATGTTACATAATTTAAAAAAATTACTCTGGTTTTCGGTATGTTCACAGAGTTGTGCCGCCATCATCACAGTTTTAGAGCATTTTCATCACCCAGGAAATAAACCTTGTACTCCTCCCTCACCAGCCACTGGCCCCCACTCATCTACCTTCTCTCTAGGGGTTTGCCTGTTCTGAATATGTCATATAAGTGGAATCGTACAGTATATGGTCTTTTGTGACTGGCTTCTTTCACTTGGCAAGATGTTTTCAAGGTTCATCCACCTTGTAGCATGTATCAAGGCTTCATTCCTTTTCATGGCTGAGTAATATTCCATTGTATGGAGAGTCTGTATTTTATTTATCCATCCATCAGTTGATGGACATTTGGGTTGCTTGCCCTTTGGGCTATTATGAACATTCGAGTACAAGTTTTTATTTTTTTATTTTTATTTTTTTAAAGATTTTATTTATTTATTTGAGAGAGAGAGAATGAGATAGAGAGAGAGAGCATGAGAGGGTCAGAGGGAGAAGCAGACTCCCCGCTCAGCAGGGAGCCCAATGCGGGACTCGATCCCGGGACTTCAGGATCATGACCTGAGCCGAAGGCAGTCGCTTAACCAACTGAGCCACCCAGGCGCCCCTCGAGTACAAGTTTTTATATGGAGGTATGTTTTCAGTTCAACTGGATATGTACCTAAGAGTAGAGTGGCTGTGTCATGTGATAACTCAATGGGTAAATTTTGGAGGAACTGCCAGACTGTTTCTAAAGTGGCTGCACCATTTTATAGTCCCACCAGAAATGTATGAAGGTTCTGATTTCTCCATATCTTTGCCAACTCTTATTTTTCTTTTTGGTTATAACCATGCTAAATGGGGGCAAAATGATGTATCATTGTGGTTTAGATTGATGCTTCCCTGACAGCTGAACATTGTTGAGCATCTTTTCATGTGCTTTTTGGCATTTTTTTGTGTCTTCTTGGAGAAATGTCCATCATAGCC